TTAATTGAAATATGCATTGCTAACAGCGGAGCTATCTCAGCCGACTGGCTGCTTGTTTTTTATGTGGTATCTTGGACGTGCTCTGTCAGTTTTCATTCAAATTTGGCACATACATGTACTTTATACATGTTAGGATGCATGTCCATGACAATTTGTTTCAACATCTGGTCAAAGATGGCCGATTGACAGCCATCTGACTTTTTAGCCTTACTACTATATTTCCACAATTTATGTACCATTTTCATTCGTATTTGTCACATACATCATACATATCAGTGTGTTTCATAATTAGATCAAAGATGGCAGAATAACGGCTGTTTTTATTTTTGGCCATATTACTACTAGACGGAACATGTGTTTTGATGTAAATAAACAATCTGTTGTATACGCCACTTGAAACTCAAGTTTCAAGGACACGCTCGCGACAACCCCTCTGCTTTAATATGACGAGCACAAAGAGACTTTCGAATATTTAACGGGGACTGTGTCATTTTCAATGACTTGTTCCAGAAAAATTTCAAACAAATTCAAGAAATGTTCAGGTCTAACTGTAATCGCCATAATAGTGTTTCTTTTTTCTTCTGATGTATTGCCAGCAACAAATCTGATGTTATAAGTTTCATATATACGAAAAAAGATAATACCACGTGCCCACACCTCATGAAAATATTCCATTAATTTATGGATTAAAGACAATGTAACAAAACGATTCATGATCATCGGGTTATATCATATGGTGGGCGTTTTGAACTGCTGAACACATGACACATGAACGTTGCCAAGTTACCACATACCAATAGCCGCTATGTTAAAGGGCGGTCGTCGTTGCGCGCTCATGTGCGACATTTGTGTTGATAAACATTGATTTTCCCACAATCCAATGCGCTTTTGTAATGAAATCGAGTACGAGTTTAGCCCTAGGCGTCACTTGTACTAATTACTGCCGGCGACTCATTCAATACCTTCCAAATACCAAAATACATAATTAAAGCTTGGTAATCTCTGC